CGGTTCCAGAACGCCTCCAAGCCAGCTCCAAGAGCGGCCAGGCTCGCCCCAAGGCGGCCCAAGATGACGCCACAGACATCTTCAAGAGGACCTCCGAGAGGCCCACATTCCCTAAACAGCGAATGCTGTAAGGCCCTCAGTTGTGTTAATAATGCGAAGGCTAATCGCATTAATAACAATGCCGATACTATTACTAATACGACTGCAAATAACAATACTAACAATCATACTAAGAAGAAGCGGTTTGAGTTTTTAATCTGCGAAAGAACCGCCACCAACGTGCCATGCCCTGCCGTGCCGTACCTTGCCCGCGTGCCGCGCCGCGCTGCGCTTGGCTTCGAGCATGCGAAGCAACTACCGTACATGTCCCGCGTGCCAGGCCCGTGCTTGGGTTCGAGAGTGCGAAGCAAGTGCTGTACCGCGCCGAACCCGCGTGCCGTGCTTGGTTTCGAGGATGCGACAAAGCTGCCGTGATGGATATGGCGGCTGGAAATGTAAGAAGGAACGCCGACGAAGAAGTGAGGACTGGAGGACAGCGGTGCTGGGCTCTTGGAAGGCCTATTTCCCTTTTCCCCCTTCTCTTCGTCTCAACCTTTTCTTCGTCTTCTCCTGCTCCTGACACTGCTGCTGCTACGCATGCCTCCCTCTGCTGCAGATCCTCTTCCTCCTCCTCCTCCTGTGCTTGCTCCTCCTCCTGCTTTGTCCTCCTGACGCTGCTCCTCCTCATCTCCCCTCATGTGGAATGCAACACAATCAACGCCACCAATATAAACTGTATGAGATCCGCGCGGAGTTCTTGGGCCAGTGCTGAAGTACTTCTCCTCTGGAGCGCGCCGCGCGCCATGGGCGGCGCCAAGAGAGGTCCAGCGCCGACCCAAGAAATCCGCGCGGACATCCGAACATTTATGCCTATGCCGTTCGTTGCTCTGTGATCCTCCTCCTCCTCCTGCTTCTCCCGATCCCCCTCCTCCTCGTCATCCTATCTGCACCTCCCGCGCAGGCTGCGAACTGGGCAAGGCAAGTGCCGCGCGCGCGTGCTGGATCCCTGCCCATCGCGAGCGAGCGAACGCGCGCAGAGCCCTGCCCCTGGGCGGCGCCTGGAACGCCCCGGAGGAGACACGACCTCGGCCGGCACCGACGCGGTGCTTTCTTAATCCATCGTTCCGAGTCGGGCCGTTCTGGGGGGGGGGAGGCCGGGGAGGGTGGGGGGGGTGGGGGGACGCGGGGGGAAGTGGGGGGGAAGCAGGAGGTGGCGGAGCGGGGAAGGCTGCGAGAACGGAGCGGGGCTCAGCCTAACCCAAGCTGAGGTAGGGAGGGCTGGGGCCTGGTTTTGGAGCACGTGTTGGAGCGATGATTCCATACCTTTGCATGCACATGATCAGTCGCCAATTCGGCTCAGCAGAAGCTCGCAGAGAACGACACGTCAGCCCGATACCGACAAAATGCTGGTATCAGAATGCTTGCATCGTCCAGCTTGATTGTCTCAATTTGATAGGGGAGGGGGGGGGTGGGGGAGGAGCAGAAGGAGGAGGAAAGGGGGACAGGGGGAGCATGGGAGACGGAGCCTTACCCGCCCCAAGCTCCTGTCTCGTTTTCGGGTCATGACTCGGGTCTCAAGCGACCGCTGGGAACGACTCGGGCACCCCAGGAATGCTCTCGCCGGGGCGCAGCTGCTGGAACGCATCCCGAGGCAGGACCGAACCGTCCAAAACCCCGCGCCGCCCTCCCCCCTCATCCTCTTACTCCTCCTCTCCCTTCATCCTCTGATTCTTCCTCGTTGTTCCTTTTGGCTTCGACCTTCTGGCGGTGCTCCTCGGCAAGGCCGCCTGCCCCCGCGATACGCTTCCCTGGTCGTCTTTCACGGCCCAATGCCCGCGCGGTTTTCACGCTTTAGTCTCCCAATGGTTGCTCGTCTCCTCAGCCTTCCTAGGTGGGTTCCAAGGGGGGACGCTCACACCTGGATTTGCCTGGAGTCGATTGCCGTGCTCCCCCACGGGCTCCATGTTCGGCTCCGCCCTCATGGCCGCCCTGCGCTCCCTTGCCCTCCCGGCCCCTCCGTCCGCCCCGCGCCTCGGCGCGTTCCCTTGTCCCTGTGCCTCGCTGTGCTTCGGCGCGCCCCGCCGCTGCCTGACCGCCGTCTGACCCTCTTGCGGGGCATCCCGACCTGCGCTCCGAGCCGAGCCCAGCCCCAGCGGACGAGCGAGCGCCAGACGCTGGCAGAGCGGGGCTCGGGACCCCAGTGCCAACATGCCCTGCGCAGCGGAGGAGGGACCCCTGGCATCTTCGCGTCGGGATATGTTTTTTTTGCAATTTTCGGCGGCTTCTGGGGGCGCTCACTGGGCCACATCGGATTGTCAAAAACAACGACTCACGATGAAGAGACGGTCTCTGGGAGGCGGTCCAGGCCTCTAGGACGCCACATTTAACTTTGAACATACTTTGCGATGTCGGATGTCTAGGGAGGCAGGAGGAGGAGGAGGAGGAGGAGGAGGAGGAGGAGGAGGAGGAGGAGAGAGAAAAAGGAGGAGGAGGAGAGGAGGAGGAGAGGAGGAGGAGGAGGGAGGAGGAGGAGGAGGAGCAGGAGGAGCAGAGGAGGAGGAGGAGGAGGAGGAGGAGGAGGAGGAGGAGGAGCAGGAGGAGCAGAAGGAGGAGGAGGAGGAGGAGGAGGAAGAGGAGGAGGAGGAGGAGGAGGAGGAGGAGCAAGACGAGCAGGTCTATGAGGCGAATGAGGGGATTGACCCTCTCTCTCTCCGCAGAACTCACACGGGGAACGTCCTCCCCATGCCCCCTCTGCCCTCCCCCTCCCCTCTCCGCGAACTTCAGCCCGAAGGAAACGTGTCCTGCAGCAAAGGGGGAAAATGGTACTGGAGACTTTTCCCAACTTTCGGGCCCTCCACGGGCCCCAGGACCGTCAACAAAACAACGCAGGATGAAGAACTAGTCCCAAGGAAAACTCCGACCCGCCGCCTGCCCGCCGTGCTTCCGTGTTCTGCACAACATGGTACTGAACAACATCCGTCTCCAACACAACACCCCGTACTCAACAGCCTCCGTCTTAAACGCAACACCCACTATTCAACATCATCTCGCTGCAAGGGAGAATCCTTAGGAGCTCTAGTGGACTGATCCGTCCGCCCGCCGCCCGCCGTTTCCCTACGGACCCGTTTCCCTCATGGCGAGAGCTGCGGGACGGTGACCCGCTTGGAAAAACCTTGAGCCTACACACATTGGCGCCCCGCTCTTGCTTCCGCCTCCTTGCGCCGGCGGGCCCGCCGTCGTTTTGCCTCCGCTAGCTTCCGCCGAGGCCTCCCTTGGCAACGCCCTACGCATACCCTGGGGACGACCGCAGAGTGTGGGGGTATCCTGGCGGGGGTCCAAGCCAACAGGGTGAGCAGGGCAGATGGGTGGGCGATGGTGAGGTCGGGTTCAGTGTGGACGGGAGAGGGGGGGCGATGAAGCGGGAGGAGAGGAGGGGCGAGCAGAGAGGGGAGGAGGAATGGGAGCTGGGGGTGGGGAAGGGGGGGAGGGGGAGGGTCCAACGGGAGAGGCTTCTCCCTTGCTTGCGCCGCAGGGAATACTCTCCGACTCCGGTGGACTACGGGCACGGTGTGTTCGTTGGGTGGGCAGCCGCTGGGCAAGGAAGCCTGAGCATCGCGGTTGGCGATTCGCCAGCCTTGGTCTGAAGCACTTGCAAGCTGTGGATCATCTTTGTCGCCACCAGGGTGATGATGATGCAGGCCGTTCGATCTCAGGAAGGCCCAAACGAGGGCCGTATTTTGAAAAGGAGCCGTCCTCCATCCCTGTGGCTGCTGCAAGCTTTTGAAACGAATGTGCGCGGTGCCTAGGCGAGAGTCCCATTTCGAAAAAGAATGGCCCTCCATCCCTGCAAGTGTGACAAGCTGATGCGACGAGTGTGCGCGGCGCTGAAGCGAGAGCTCCGCTTTGATAACGACCCCGTCGATCCTTGAATTGTGGCAAGCTGATGCGACGAATGTGCGCGGCGCTGAGGCGAGAGCTCCTTTTGACCCCCGCTTTGTGACTGTTGTACGCTTTGAAAACGGTTGTACGCGGCGTCAAGGCGAGAGGTCCATTTTGAAAACCACCTCCCGTCGTCCTCTTAGCTGTTGCAAACTTTGAAGACGAGTGTGTGCGGCGCTACGGCAAGGACCGCATGTGCCCTTCCCCCCACCCCATCCGTATAACTGGTGTGTTTTTCAAACTTCAAGACAAGAGACAATCAGGAAGACTCAGCCGGAACGCCTGGCCCTCCCTACTGGCACGTCTGGGGGCGCGAAAAGGGGGGAGTTTTTCTATCAGGGAAAGGGATGAAGGAGGAGGAGGAGGAGGAGGAGGAGGAGGAGGAGGAGGAGGAGGAGGAGGTGGAAGGGGAGAACAAGGATGGGAAGACTCAGGGGGGAGGGAATCCTCTCCCCCACCCCGCGCCGCCTGCTTTCTCTCTCGTGCCTCCCCTGCCTCACCAGCTTTCGGGTGCGCCGAAGACGGAGGCCAGGGGAGGCCAGGAAGAGGGGTTGTAGCACATCGCCGCTGGAGGCATGTGCGGGGACGGTGGGAAGGGGGGCAAGGGAACGTATTGAAAACAAGGCGCTGTGATATGCACACGCCCCCGAAACTTCTGGTGCCCCCGGGGCCCGAAAGCGGCCCTCCGAGAGGCCGCGGCGAAGGGGAAGTACCTGGGACTGAACAACATCAATGCTCCCGAGCCCAGACGCCCGATGTTTTGTTTTTTTTCGATAGGGGGTCCCCAAGGTCCCCTGAAGTCCCGACCCTTGGCCCAAGGGCCAACTTTTCGGCCCGTGTCGCTTTCTAACGGCCCCGGGGTCCGGCGAGGGCCCCCGGAGGCCGAAAACGGCCAACAGTCTGCCGCCGCCGCCGCCGCCGCCGTTGTCGCCGTCGTCATCGTCGTCGCCGTCGCCGCCGCGAGTAAGTCTGTCCCCCGCTGGCTCCGATCGCGAGGCCGTGGCCGACGCGGCCTTCCATGCCTCGGGCGGGGCTCCGACCGCGCCAGCAGGGCCGCCTGCGGGCGGGGGAGGCCCAGAGCAGGAGCACGAACGATTGAGCGAGCCAACCCTGACATCCTCCGATCTGATCTTTTTCAATCCGCGGCCCCAAAGGTCCCGACCCCTTCCCCTGGGGTAATTTTGCGTCCCGGATCCGTTTTGGTGGTCCCGGGGTCGGATGACGGGCCCCAGAAGCATGAATCGAGGAACCTCGCCCCGATTGAATATACCAACCAGCGTGGACCCCACACAGTGTGTTTCTAGCAATGTATGTTGTGCAATCTATGTTGTGCAACCAGTGTGGTGTAATTACTCTTTGTTGTGGAATCAATGTTTTGTGCATTCTATGATTCGTGCAATTTATGTCGTACAATATGTGTGGTTCTATGTTGTACAACATATGGGATGCAATCTATGTTGTGCAATCTATTTGGTGCAATTGGTTTTAACAAACGAATTGACACATCCTGCGCTCTTGCAAACATCCCACCCACCCACCCGCAACTTGGTTTGCAAAATCTCTTAAGACCGTGACGGTGGTTACCAAATGGCGCTTGGCAACGACAGCGACGCCGACGACGACAGCGACAACGACGACGACGACACCGCCGACAACGACTACGACGACACCGACGACGTCTCCAACGACTTCGACGACGCCGACAACGACGACGACACCGACGACGACGACGACGCCGACGCCGACGACGATGACGATGACAACGACGACGACGATGACGACGCCGACGACGACGACACCGACGACGACGACGTCAACGACGCCGACGACGACGACGACGACGCCGACGTCGACGACGACGAAGACGACGACGACGCCGACGCCGACGACGGTCGCCAACGAAGACGACGACGAGGGAGGAGGGAGGACGACGACGGCGACAACGACGACAACGACGACAACGACGAGGGAGGAGGGAGGACGGCGACGACGCGAACGACGAAGAAGGAGGAAGGACGGCGACGCCGACGACGACAACGACGAGGGAGGAGGGAAGACGACGACGACAACGACGACGACGACGGCGACGAAATAGGAGGGACGACGACGAGACGCTGACGACGACGACGACGACGACGAGGGAGGAGGAGGAAGGACGACCACGGCGACAACGACGACGGAAACGACCACGACGCCAAAGAGGAGGACGACGACGAACACAAGACAGAGGACGACGTAGGCGACGACGACGACGACTCGGGAGGAGGGAGGACGGCGACGACGACGACGACGACGCAAGAGCGCGCGCGCACGCTTTTGTTGGAAATCCGTGTTGCGGAATCTTGTGTTTTTGTAGGTTTTTGGACACACGATTTTGAAATCCTTCCGAAACCGATGGGTTTTGAAGGATTTCGGCATACGCGCGCGACGACGCGCGCGTCTGCACTTCGTCCAAGTTTTTTGCAGAGGATTCTCGCGACGGCACACGCGCAAGGGCGTTCGACTAATTTCGACATGCGCGCGTGCGAAGCCCTTTTGGTAGCATTTTGTGAAAATCTTAAAAACAAAACCTATGGTTTTCTTGAGATTTCTTCGCAAGAGCTCGCGCGTAAGCTTTTTTAGCAAGTCAGTGCTGCGAAACCCAATGTTTTTGTTTGTTTTTTTGGAAACTCGATTGCGAAATCTTTCCGGCACCGAAGGATTTCGGCATGCGCGCGCGACGGCGCGCGCGTGTGCACTTCGTCCCATTTTTTGCAAGGGGTTCGTGAACAAGTGTTATGTCAGAACAAAAGATGTCCCTGCGTATCGTTTATTTACAAAAAAGAACCTCAGGAGGGCCGATACCGGCCCCCCGGGGATAGTGTAAATTCATATTTAGGATGGACATGTGGTCAGAATTATATCTGATTTACATACCCGAAAGGGGGGCGGCGAACGCCGGGGGGGATAGAGTCTACTCTGTTTTTCGAAAGGAGAGTATATGTGGTGCAAATGATTTTGACAAGCGAGTTGGCACATCTCTTGCTCTTGTAAGCATCCTACCCACCCATCCGCAACTTGGTTGGCATAACCCATGCGGCGGCGATTGCGATGAATGCTTAGCGTTGACTGGTCCATCTCTGCGGCCGAACCAACCCAAACACGCGCGCGCAGCCGCGATGGTGCTGACCGCTGGAAACATCCCAGCGGGCACTTCAGTGCGAGTCGGCGACTTGGGCGGGCGCGGTAAAATGGCAACGTCAACAACGCTAGACACAATGATGATAGTTGCGATGCTGGTGACGATGTTGACAACGACCTTGGCGCGGCCAGTGCGGGCGCCGATGCTGATCACGACGACGACGATGACGGCGTTCTCGCGTCGGTGATGAAGGCTTTGGAACAAATTGGACACGCGCGCGCGGCCGACGCGCGAGAGTGGCCCGCTTGGTTCCCCAATCAAGGCTTGCCTCTGTTCCCCAATCAGAGCTTGCCTCTGTAGGGTCCTAGCGGATTCCTATGGTTAGGTTAGGTTTGTCGCCGATTTTCGCTGCACGCCCGGGTGCCCGGGTGCCCGGGGGTGCCCGGGGCCCGGGTGCCCGGGGGGTGCCTGGGGGTGCCCGGGGGTGCCCGGGCGTGCCCGGGGTGCCCTATAGCCCTAAGCCCTATAGCCCTATAGCCCAATAGCCCAATAGCCCTATAGCCCTACAACTCTATAGCCCTATAGCTCTATAGCCCTATAGCTCAATAGCCCTGTAGCCCCCTAGCCCTGTAGCCCTGATTGGAGTTTTTCTCCGGTATCATAAGGGTCCGAGCGGATTCATATGGTTAGGCCAAGTTTGCCGCCGATTTTCGCTGCACGCCTGGGTGCCCGGGTGCCCGGGGGTGCCAAGGTGCCCGTGTGCCCCGGTGCCCGGGCGTGCCTGGGGGTGCCCGGGTGCCTGGGGGTGCCCTATAGCCCTATAGCCCTAAGCCCTATAGCCCTATAGCCCTACAGCTCTATAGCCCTACCTATACGACCACCCTGCGGGTGATAAGGAGGTTGGGGGGGGTGGAGGGGCCGAGCAATCGGCAACAGTGGTGATTGTTCTCCTGACGATGCCAGTGGAGATCATCATCATCATCATCATCATCATCATCATCATCATCATCATCATCATCATCATCATCATCATCATCATCATCATCATCATCATCATCATCATCATCATCATCATCATCATCATCATCATCATCACCATCATCATCATCATAATCATCATCAACATCATCATCGGGACACCGACGGGACACCGACGGGACACCACCGGGACACCGGCGGGACACTGCGCGGCCCCGCGCCCCGGTGGAGAATCATTTGGTGCGGCCGCGCCTCAGTCACAGAGGACACCACCGGGACACCGGCGGGACACCGCGCGGCCCCGCGCCCCGGTGGAGAATCATTTGGTCCGGCCGCGCCTCAGCCACAGGAGACTTTCCTCTCGCCCGCCCACGCAGCTTCGCCTCGCCCGCATGCACGGCACGCACGAACACGAAACCGAAATCGATTTCCCGGTAGGGGGGCTCTCCGTTCCACTTCGATCTTACCCCCCAACCTCCGATATCCCAATAGCCCTATAGCTCAATAGCCCTATAGTCACATGATTTTTTTTCTCTGGTATCATATTATTTGATACGGATCGTGCCCCCCCCCCACACGCGCGCAAGGGCGTGCGAATGATTCCGGCATGCGGCGCGAGAGGTCCGCTTGGTAGAGTTCCATGAACATGTTGAAAAATCTATGGTTTTCCCCACAAAAAAAAACGTAGGAGCACGAGCGCACGATTTCTTGAAACCTGATGTTGCGGAACCATGTGTTTGTTATATGTTGCTTGGACACTCGATTTTGAAATCCTTACGAAACCTAAGGTTTTCGAGGGATTTCGGCACGCGCGCTCCACAACGCGCGCGTGTGCACTTCGTCCCTTTTTGTAGCAAGGGATTCTTGAAAACTTCTGATTTTTGATAAACGACTGTGCGCGCATAGTATTGTTTGCAGCGGATGGCAGGGGGGGCGATACCGGCTCGGCTGGGATGGTATGAATCCCACCAGCCCTCTGGGCGCAGGTGGTCTAGGGCGTTTCCTTTTCCAATCTCCTTCTTTTCCCTGCTAGGGAGGTTTACCTCCCCCACTCTCCCTGGGTCTGGACGGGCTCCCCCGCGAGGTGGCAGAGGGTCCTTTTTGGCCCAAGATGGCTCCAACAGGGCCTCAGAGAGCGCAAGATGGCCTCCAAGATGGCCCAAGATAGCGGTAGATGGCTCAAGATAGCCTCCGACACACGTCCCAGAGGCTTCAAAACGGCCCCAAGAGGGTTTCAGCAAGAGGCCAAAATTCTTTAACAACCTAAAGCAAATCAATCTGTTTTGCCTTCTCGCTTTTTCGCCTCCGTTGGGCTCTTGAGGCCTTAAGATAACCCCAAGAAGACCCAAGAAAGCCCCAAGAGGGGCTTAAGAGGGTTGTAAAATGGCTTTAAGAGCGCAGAGAAGCGCTCCAATCATGTCCCAAGAGGACCCCAAAACAGCATTTTTGAGCCTCCGAGGTCGCGACGGGAATTAAGACTCCCCCTCTTTTTGAACAATGGGGCCCAAGACGGCCCCAAGAGGCCTCCCAGATGCCCCCCGAAGAGCTCCAAGAGGGCTCCAAGACACCCCAAGAGAGCCCCAAGAAGGCCCCAAAAAGGCCCCAAGAGGACCCCAAGATGGCCCCAAGACGGCGCCCAAATGGCACTACGAATCTTCGAAGAACCCCCCACCAATACATATCTCCCAAGCCCGACTTCTCGTCCTCCATGTCATCGTCCGTTCCTTCCTTGCTTCTTTCCTGCCGCCTCCCTTCTCCTCTTCATCCTCCTCGCGCCGGGCTCCTCCTGCTGCTCCTCCTCCTCCCCGTCCTCCTTACGTATTTTTCCTCCTCCTTCTCCTTCTCCTCCTCCTCCTCCTCCTCTTCTTCCTCCTCCTCCTCCTCCTCCTCCTCCTCCTCCTGGGGACTCCTCCTCCTCCTCCTCTTCTTCCTCCTCCTCCTCCTACTCGTCTTTTTAC